TATTGAGATGATCAAGTGGTTTTGTCTTTGCTTCTGTTAATGTGGTTTATTACATTTATTGATTTTCATATGTTGAACCACCCTGCATCCTGGGATGAAGCCTACTTGGTCGTGGTGAATAATCTTTTTGATGTGTTTTGAATTCGTTTGCCATTATTTTTTGAGGATTTTTGCATCAATGTTCATTAAGGAGATTGGCCTATAGTTCTCCTTTTTGGAGGTGTCTTTGCCTGGTTTTGGGATAAGTGTAATACTGGCTTCATAAAATGTGTTAGGCAGTTTTCCTTCCCTTTCTATTTCATGGAACAGTTTAAGGAGGGTTGGTAGTTCTTCTTTAAAGGTCTGATAATTCAGCAGAGAATCCATCAGGTCCTGGACTTTTCTTTTTGGGGAGATTCTTGATTGCTGCTTCAATTTCATTTTGTGTTATAGATCTATTCAGGTGATTAATTTCCTCTTGGTTCAGTTTTGGATGATCATATGTATCTAGAAATCTGTCCATTTCTTTAAGATTTTCAAATTTATTTGAATATAGGTTCTCAAGTAGTCTCTGATGATTTCCTGGACTTCCATGGTGTTTGTTGTTATCTCCCCTTTTGCATTCCTGATTCTACTAATTAGGGTTTTTTTCTCTCCTCATTTTAATCAGGTTTGCCAGGGGTCTGTCGATCTTGTTTATTTTTTCAAAGAACCAACTTTTGTTTCATTAATTCTTTGTATGGTTTTTTTGGTTTCTATTTCATTGATTTCAGCTCTTATTTTTATTTCTCTCCTTCTATTGTTTTGGGATTTGCTTGTTCTTGTTTTTCTAGGAGTTTGAGATGTATCATTAGGTCATTGATTTGGGATCTTTCAGTCTTTTTAATATATGCACTCATGGCTATAAACTTTCCTCTCAGGACTGCTTTGCTGTGTCCATAGGTTCCGGTAGGTTGTGTTTTCATTTTCATTGACTTCCAGGAACTTTTTAATTTCCTCTTTTTTTCATCATGACCCATTCATTAAGTAATGAGTTATTCAGTTTCCAGCTGTTTGCATGTTTTTTGTCTTTACTTTTTGTTGTTGAGTTCTAGTTTTATTGCATTGTGATCAGATATGCATGGTAATTTCTATTTTCTTATATTTGCTGAGGCTTGCTTTGTGCCCTAGGATATGATCTATTTTGGAGAAGGTTCCATGGGCTGCTGAGAAGAATGTATATTGTGTAGAAGTTGGATGAAATGTTCTGTAGACATCAACTAGGTCCATTGATCTATTGTATATTTTAGATCTAGGATTTCTTTATTGATTTTTGTTTGGATGACCTATCTATTGATGATAATGGGGTGTTAAAGTCTCCCACAACCACTGTGTTGGAGTTAATTATGCTTTTAGGTCTTCAGGGTATGTTTGATGAAATTGGGTGCATTGACATTGGGTGCATATAGGTTGATATATTATTCTTTTGGTCTATTTCCCCTTTTATTAGTATGGAATGTCCTTCTTTATCTCGTTTGATCAATGTAGGTTTGAAGTCTACTTTGTCAGAGATAAGTATTGCTACTCCTGCCTGTTTTCGGGGACCATTGGCTTGGTAAATCTTCTTCCAGACTTTCATCCTAAGCCTATGCTTATTTCTGTCAGTGAGATGGGTCTCCTGTAAGCAACAAATTGTTGGATCTTCCTTTTTAATCCATTTCATCAAATGGTGTCTTTTGATGGGTGAATTAAGTCCATTAACATTAAGTGTTAGTACTGATAGGTATGTGGTGATTCCTGTCATTTAGTTGTCTTAGTTGTTTGAAGGTTTGATTGTGTGTACCTAAGTTGAGGTTACTCTCTACTTTCTTGCTTTTTCTTTTCCTGTAGTTTGGTGCTGCCTGTCCTTTCATGGTTATGTTGGGTTCACTTTCTGTGTGCAGAATCCCTTGAATCTTTTGTAGTGGTGGCTTTGTGGTCACATATTGTTTTAGTTTCTGCTTATCATGGAAGACTTTTATTGCTCCATCTATTTTGAATGATAGTTTTGCTGGGTAGAGTATCCTGGGGTTGAAGTTATTTTTCAGTGCCGGAAGATCTCACCCCAGCTCTTCTTGCTTTTAATGTTTCTGTTGAGAAGTCTGCTGTGATTTTGATGGGTTTACCTTTGTATGTTATTGTTTTTCTCTTTACAGCCTTCAATATCTTTCCTAGTTTCTGAACTTTGTTTTTAGATGATATGCGTGGGTAGTTCTATTTTGATCTGGTCTGTTTGGTGTCTGGAGGCCTCTTGCATCTGTATGGGATAGATTTCTCTAGATTTGGGAAATTTTCTGTTTATTTTGTTGAATATATTAGCATTCCCTTTGCTTGCACCTCTTCTCCTTCTTCGATGCCCATGATTCTCAGTTTGGTCTTTTGATGGAGTCAGTGAGTTCTTGCATTTTCTTTTCACAGGTCTTGAGTTGTTTAATAATAGTTCTTCGGTTTTTCCTTTAATTACCATTTCAATTCTGAGATTCTGTCTTCTGTTTGTTCTATTCTGCTGGATTGGCCTTCCTTTTGTTTTGCAATTCTGTTTCATTCTTTTTTTCTGAGGTTTTCCATATCCTGGTGTTTCCTCTTTAATGTTGTCTATTTTTGTCCTGAGTTCATTTATCTCTTTATTAATCATGTTTCTTTTCACTTTGGTGTTTATACAGTGCTTCTATGGTTTCCTTTATTTCTTCTTTGCTTTTCAAATTCTCTATTTTTGTTGTCTTGGAATTTCTTGAGTGTCTCCTGTACATTTTGGTTGACCATATCCAGTATCATCTCTATAAAATTCTCATTGAGTACTGTAGTATTTCTTTTAATTATTCTTGTGGGCTTCATTGGGTTCTTTGGCATAGTTTATCTTCATTTTGTTGGAGTCTGGATCTGAGTATCTGTTTCTTCATTTCCCTCTGGTTCCTGTACTAATTTTTGCTGTGGGGAAACTGGTTTCCCTGTTTTTTCTGTCTTCCGTCATTGCCCTTGGTGTTGTTATGTCCCTGTACTGTGTGCAATTAAGTATTTTCTAGCTTGTAATAATAACAATGGTATATTTAGAATGGAAGGTGAGAGGAGATGGAAAGCAAAGAAGTTAAAGAAAAAGGGAAAAAAAATAAACAAGTGAAAAAAACAAAACAAACAAAACAAAAAGTTTCAAAGATATAAACAGGAGAGATAGTGTACTAATCAACAGTAAGCTGAAACAGGCATTAGAGAGACAGAGAGAGGATTGAAAAAAAAAAAAATAAAAAAATCTCCAAGTTCAAATGCAATAAGTTTCAGTCTTAATAATTTTGGTGTTCGTCCTCAGCTCCAATCCTGGAGATGGTGTCAGAAGTAGTTTGTCATTGTCTCATCAAAGGGGAAAAAAAAAAAAAAAAAACAAAAAAAAAAACACCACAAAGTGTCCAAGTTCAAATGCAATACAGTTTCAGTAAGTTTTTCAGTATGCAGGTGTAGTTTGGTTGTTGTCTCATCAAAGGGAGAAAGAAATAAAAGTGTCTGGAGACAGTTCTGTGAATGGCTATCTGAGGCTGCGGCTCACCTGCCTGCTGTTGTCAGCCTGCTGTTGCTGAAGGCGTTACTTATGCAGATCTTAGGAGTGAGCTTAACACTCACCTGGCCCCTCAGGCTTTGTTTACTTAGAGTTCTCCTGGGCGCAACCACCACTGCTACAAGCTTCCCCCTTTCCAAGCTCACTGGGGGAGGTGACACTGCACCCGCTTTCTCAGGTCGGCTTGTTTATTTACAGTTCACATGGGAAATGGGTCTTACTCCCCTCCTGTGGAGTTTTCCTCTCACCGCCACTTTTACAAGCTTTCCCGCTTCTGGTTGCTGGGCGTGTGCCACTGCTCTTGTCTTATCTGGCCGACTTGTTGTGAGGGATTTCCCCTCCCCCACCTTCAGCGCTCAGGGCGCCCCGCCCTCTTTGCTACATGTCTCCTCTGTTGTTATTGCTTATTATTCAGTTTTTTTTTCTTTTTTACCTTGGTGGGGGTCAGTCTGTCCAGGGGGCTATGTTGATCTGGCCCAGGATTGTCTGTGAGAGTACCGCGTACCACTTAATTCACCTTGTAGTCCACGTCTTCCCAAGCCATCTCGGTGCTGCCAGCTGGCAGTGGCATGGGAGCCCTCCTAGTTTCTCCCTTTAACATGAATTGGAGATGCTTCACGCAGGCTGGAGGTGTGGAGGAGTCAAAGTTTTGCGTATTCTCAGTGGTTTTTCCTGTAATGTGTATCTCCAGCGTCTCTCCAAGATTTTACTTTAGGAGGCACGCTTTCTGCTTCCTTCCTCTAGCCACCATCTTGGAATTCCTCTCCTTAGTTTTGTGATTGTTAAAATTTCTTATGTCACTTTGGACTTGACTTTTTTTTTTGTATTAGGGTTTGAACTCTCAACCTCACACTTGCTAGGCAAGCACTGTACCACTTGAGCTACACCCTCAGCAACTCTGCCTTTCAAGTAGTTTAAAACTAGATTATTTGGTACTTTATGTTTATGTAGTATATTGAAGCTATAGTGTGGGAGATAATTTTTTTTTCTTTTTTGTGGGAATAGGGTTTGAACTCAGGGCTTCATGCTTGCCTTGCAAAGCAGGCCACTTAAGTCACACCTCCACTTAAGCCACACCTCCAGTTTATTTTGCAAACTATTTGCCTGGACTGGCCTCAAACTATAATCCTCCTGAATCCAGCCTCCCTAAGTAGCTGGGATTAACAGTCATGAGCAACTGGTACCTGGAGGTAGTACTTGCTGAAATTTAAAATTTTAAAACTGATTCTAAATCCAGACACTTTTTATTAGCTTTCTAAATCCTGTCAGAAGTGATCCTGACACTTTCATTCTTAGTTCTTCAATTGAAAATAGAAATAAAGTACTTCTGCTCACCTAGAAATGTGTGTGGTAAATGATGAAGTAAATAAATATTTATACTTAACTAGAAAAGATGTTGGAAATGTAGCACATGCACAATTTTGACTTGTCCTCACTTTTTGCTCCTTTTTTTCAGCTCAATCTGAAATTGAAGTGTCTGTCTCTGCAAGGAATATCAGAAGGCTACTAAGTTTCCAGCGGTATCTTAGATCCTCACGCTTTTTCCGTGGTACCACTGTTTCCAGTTCTCTAAACATTTTAGATGATGATTACAATGGACAAGCCAAGGTGTGTACAGCTTTTTCAAGAAAACAGTAATTGTTGGATAAATTTCCTAAAAACCTTCCTACCCCTACCCCCCATATAGTAATGATTTATAGATCCTTTTTCTGTCTGTGAAAAGCAGCTAAACTGATTTTTTTTTTCAAGATTATTTCTGCAGGGTAACTGTTTGCTTTATAATTAGGTCTGACAGAGGGGAAGGAAACTTCTGAAAGAGCCAAAGTAGTAAAAATGTTTTCATTTATTATAACATTAAGTAATAAGCTGATCAATTGTACATAAGCTCACACAGAATCTTACTGCCAGGGAGACTATTAGAAATGACCTCATCTAACATCTCTGCTCTGTTGATGAGGAAGCTGAGGCCTAGAGAGCACAAGGGACTTGTTTGAGTTCCCAGCTAGTGAGATATAAACCCAGCACAGGGAGAGAGGTTTAATTATTTTCAGTCAAATGTTGTATAGTCTCTTACATCAAAGAGAGGTCTTGACCATTTAGATGGATCCTAATTAAACTCGGTGATTTAATATACTTTAAAGGAAATATCTTAATTAGGGTTGCAATTAAATGAGATTGGTTTTGACCAGGTGAAGATTTTAAATAATCTGGAATTTATGTATTTTGACTTAATATTTATAGGCTAGATTTTGTAAATTTGGATAAATTAGGCAGTTACATTAAAGGGGGAAAATGCCTCCCTAACTGATAAAACAAATCAGTAGAAAGTGTTCATGCTTTCTTTAAATTTTAAAAAGTTGACAAGCTTAGCTTTTTAAAGTGAGAATATTGATCTGTGGGTAATTATGTGTTTTTGGTATTATATAACAATCTGTACTAATGTCTCAGTGTTACTGATATTGACGTTCGTATGTATATGGCTCAGTGGATACCAAAAGGATACCAAATAAAACTTTTCTTGAAAAAGTCCACAAAATGTTCAAGTTTGGAAAATATGTTGTAAATGTGTTTGTTTTCAGGATCTTTGTAGGATTTATTTGCTTGGCTAGAGTACATATCATCCTAAAAGTGAACATAGTAAATTCTAATAATCTTATTAGGATATTTAAAACTTATAAAGACTATCCTGTTGGAAGTTTTTTAGTTGAATAACAGATAATTAAAGTGTGATATACTGTATCAGTGACAGGTGCCTGAATTCTAGAATCAGATTTCTGATTTCCAGCACCAGCTCTCTCACTCTCTAGCTGAGCAAGTTAGATACTTTTTACCTGTTTCCCCACCTATAAATTGAGGATTGAAAACAATGCCTGCTGGTGGTGGTGGTGTGAGTGTAAAAATCTTTTTAAAGTACCTGTGTTTCGTAAATACTCAGTAGTCATTATAAGTCATTTTTACTAGATATTTAAAATCTGCTTTCTAGACCATGCAACATATAAACCAGACTTCTGCGATACTAAATTGTTTTAGAATTCTTACAAGTTTGTAGAATTATAGGGATAATTAAGAGAAAGGCTAACCTGACTTGTACATTCATTAACTGAAAAACAAAGAATAATCTCATTTTTCAAATGGAGTTCACTTTTTTTGAACATTTTTTGAAGCCATTTGAAAAAGTCATGATTCAAACAAGAATGACACCTGGTATTTCTTAAAGCAAATCAAGCACTTTCCATTTTCTTTAACTTCTCTATGGATTATCTACAAAAGACAGAGAATGTTATTAAAATTAAATTACAGTAGGAATGTTTGGTTTTCATTTCAGTGTATGCTGGAAAAAGTTGGAAATTGGAATTTTGATATCTTTCTATTTGATAGACTAACAAATGGTAAGTGAAGAATTTGACTTACTCAAGTTAACATAGCCTCTAGACTGCACTGATGATACAGCCGCTGGTGGGTTGTTGAGTTCATTCACTTAGGTTATGAGCCTTTGCTGGCAAAGGGGCATGATTTTGTCCTTTTTTAATGACTCTTCTAAAAGCCAACAGAAATAACATCACAATTTTATGTTTTTGTTGTTATTCTTAGCAGTAACCAAAAGTAACCATCATCATGATTTAGCTGATTGGCAATTAATGCTGCTTTTTTTTGCGGGGGGGGCAACAGTGGGGTTTGAACTCAGGGCATGTGTTTGCTAGGTAGACACTTTACCTCTTGAGCCATGCCCTTTTTGCTTTAGTTATTTTTTAAGTGAGGGTTTGTATTTTTTGCCCAGGACAGCCTGGACCTCATCCCTTGTACTTATACCTGCTGTGTAGCTGGCATGATAGGCATGAACCATCATGCCTCACCTAATACTGCTGTTTTTACTAACTCAAAGTAAACATTTTTATTTTATTGTCTTCATTTTCCCTTTTGGTTTCTTGTATATTGTGGCTGTTTATATTGACATTTTCTGATACTGTATCCCTGTGTGGATGGACCCTGGGAGAGGCATCCTTTTTTGAACCATGGTGGTTCCCAGGCTTTTCTTTCTCAGTATACTTGAGAGGCATGGCATAGTATGATCAGCAATAATAGTTTCTTCTATCACTGCCTCCTGATGCTGGGAGCTTATAGCTTTAGGAGGACTTACAGGAATCTGTAGAGAGTAAGAGTGGTTTGCAAAAGATACCCATGGTGATTCTGATGCACCCCAACCCTCCTGAGTTTGGTTTAGTTTTGTTTGAGGTGGGGGTATCACACTTCCTTATTATTCTCTTTGGGAACTGAAGCTGGATTCCCTTTGGTAATCTCTTATTTATGATGACAGTTTTAGCATAAGTCTTTGTGACACATGAAAGTTCAACTATCTTTTGCCCCTTTTGTCTAAATGGTTTTTTAATTAAATGGAGCATACTAAAAATTATGTAGGAAGGAAGTCAGTTCTGACTGTATATTTTGCAGTCACCTGCTTTTTCTTATTTCATTCACTTTGAGATGAAGCGTCTTTTTATAAGGAGGCTAGTATGTAAAGTAGACAAACAAATTAACTTCATTCATCTTTAGCACTGCTGTAGGTCTTTTAAAATATCACTTCATTTTTCCTCTAAGCTGTATGCCAATGCATAGATAAAATACCTCTGTATGCTCCTTCTGCTCATTGTGCACTGTTGACAGGAAATAGACTGGACTGATCCTTGGCAAAATGTTGACAAGTAAGGTTCGCGTGTATCAGCAAAGTTACCTCCAGTATCTAAGCCTTTTTGTTCTGCCCCTTATGTGTTGCTCTCCCACCTCTCATTTGCTCTTTGGTGATTAAGTGTCCTGTTGCTCTCCCTGTACCCCCTTGGCTGTCCATACAGGAAAAGCAGTTGACCTTTCCCTGGCCTTCTTCTTTCTGAAAATACAAGTAGTGGAATATCAAGTGGTACACCCCCTTCTCAACCCAGGAAATTTTCCTTTCCTCACTCCACACAAATATTACTGCTCTTATTATCATGAGATCAATGCAGATGGAGCAGTGCCCACCTTAACACCTTGAAGTTTAGCCTGATATAAACTAACAGCTCATATGCTGTTATATAGGCTATTATTAGGACACTTGTCATTCATTGAAATAGTTGATTGTTCTTTTCTAAATTTTATTTTTCAAGAGTATATACCCTGCTTTTCAGGGTTCAGGGTCAAAGAGGAGAGAGCTGACCATGTGTAAGGTGGTCAGAAGTAGTAGCCACCAGTCTGTGTTATTGGGCACTTTGCTTTCCCTTTAATCACTCACTTGAATTGGGTTTGTGGAGAGGATGGCTGAATAGGTTCTTCTTAGGGTTGATTCCAGATCATTACGGATTAGTAAATAGCACCAATGTTTAGCTATCCACCTTTGGTTTTATAGGAGGCCATATATACTACCCAGATGCTACACAAATTCTCTACTTGAAGAGATATTATTGAACAATTGGGCAGGAAAAAAATTCCTCGGTTTGACATATGTAGTTAAAATAGATTTCCTTTAAAAACTGGTTTCGCATAAAGTTAATTCTAGATGATTCATGTTTATGGTATCCAAGTGTAAGTGTGCTTATTGAGCCAGTACTTGTGTTTCTTACTCTGGTAATTTCCCAGATGATGCTGGGGAGAAGACAGTAAAACTCAGTGGTTTGTCTTAAGACATATGATCTTCAGCTTGTCTGCTCCAAAGAGGGCAGTAGTTATTGTCTGGTAGATACATTTATGTTTCTTTTACAGGGGTATGAGTGAGATGCTGTGAAATAGTAAGATAGCTTCTTATCCCTGAAAGCCACCTGGTTGGTGAGGATAATCCTGTCTAGACTATTTTGTGTAGCTTTTCTATTAATACAATTTTTTTTGAAGAAAATGTTTTTTTTTTTCCTTTTCTTTTTGTTTTAAGATAGGGTCTCACTATCTAAAACTGATGATCCTCCTGTTTCAGCCTCCCTATTGCTGACATTATATTGGCACCATACCTAGCTCCATTTTCATTTTGATTTTAAAAAGTTTTTCTGTGCCTGTTTTTATTTCACACATCTAAGTATGTCTTGTTGACTTGTATTCTCATTCATTGGTATTTAAATACTCAGTTGGTATTTTGTGAACTGAAAAAGGGAAAAGTGTTGCCACAGCTTTTCAATTTGATATGGGTAGTACAATTTAATAGATCAGTTCTTGATATGTTCTCATGAACCTGTTAGTGGCCGATATTACCATGTGTCTCTTACTGCCATTTGCCTGAATTCTAGAAGATGTTTTCCCATTAGGTTAAAGCTTTTGTGAAACTTTATTCTAGACTCTAGGAGCTGCTCATTTGTTTTGCTCGGTTTGATAAATGATGCAGGGAAAACCCTATAATAATCTAAATAAACAGAATAAATATACATTCTAAAATATCTATGTATATACCTAAAGAAAAGTTGATTGTTATAGCTATAACCACAGAAATATTGCTTACTTCACAAATGGTTCCAAACCACCTGGACTAATGTTTGTTCTAGTAGAATGTTATCAGGACTTGAATGCATTTTAATGTCTAATTTCTTAAAAATAAAAGATTTCAATTTCTTTTTCTTTCCTTTTGAAGGTAATATACCACGTAGTCTTTTAAAAGAATCTCTCAGGCTGGGAGTAGAGCCTGCCTACCAAGCATGAGGCCCTGAGGTCAAACCTCAATACCACACACACAAAAATGTCTTTTGACCTGCCACACCCTTTAGAATGTTGGTCATGCAAATATTGCTCTAATTACTTTACTTTTTTCTCAGCTGCAGGCTTCTGTTGACAATTGTTTAGGCAGTTTTAAATAATGAGTTTGGTCAAATAATTCTTTATTTTCCTTCTTAAATATTATCACTACAAATTTTCAGTGTGAGATTTAGCAAGAATCATAGGCTTCATCAGAGAATATTAGAATCACACACGTGTTACTATTATCTGAATGTTGGCAGTAGTTTATGAGATCATATACCTTTAAAACTGATACTCTATTTTTAAGGTAATGTAGCATGTGTCCTATAGAAGGAAGTCCACAAAATTTTGAGAAATATAATAGAAGATATGAAAAAAATGAAGAGTTGTAGCATGGAGCCAGGTGCAAGTGGCTCATGCCTGTAATCCTAACTACTTGGGAGCCTGATATCAGGAGGATTGTGGTTTGAAGCCAACCTGGACAAATAGTTTATGACACCCTATCTCTAAAATAACTAGAGAAAAATGGACTAGAGGAATGGCTCAAGTGCTAGAGTGCCTGCTTTTCAAGTGCAAAGCCCTGAGTTCAAACCCCAATCCTCACCAAAAAAAAAAAAAAAGTCATAGCATGAAAGGGAAAAGTAAACATTATACAGATGGTAATTCCTATGCTTGATGTCAATGATTCAGGAGTAGATATTGAGGACAAAGACAATCCTAATTGCATATAGCAAGTCTTTTCAGAAAATGTGGCAGTGTAAGGAATGGAGAGGGTGAACCTGGAGGGGACCAAGAGGCCTCGATTGTGTGTTGTTTGAAGCATGAGGGAATCTAGAGCATGTCTGAATGTTGATGCTTATTGGAACAATATAGAAGAAAGGCAGGCAGGCAGACTGATTTGCATAAAGGTAGTTGTATCTGATGGAACAAGGAAGGTCTTTAAGAAGATATGCAAGAAGGGAAACTCGCAGGCTTGTATTTTTTCCATTAAAGAATGAGGCTAGGGAGAATGAGGGGTATATGGAAAGTATTTTGAAAGTTTAAGAAGAATAGAAATAGGCACTTTAAACAGTGGAAGAACTATTTCTAGAAAAACATATTAACATGTGTGATGCAGTGTTGATCATGAATTTATAGTGATAGAGTTCTGCTTAGTTTTGTCCTCTGACACCAGCAGCTCTCACATTTTCTGCTGGAAGCATGGAAAAGGGAAATGGTTGAGCTCAGAGTTTTGATCCTGAGGATCTTGAAGAGGTCATTGATCCCTATAGATAAAAATAAGCACAACTTCCACCTAACAAGGTTGCAGCTATGGCTGTTTGCTCTGGACAGCCATTTTGGTTCCAGCAAGGTAGTAGAGGGTTGTTAAAGAGATTAAGTACAGCTATGTTCTAGGTGCTTTGGAAAGTTGAATTAGCTTATTCAGTATAGATCACTTTTCAAAGTTTTCTGCTATAGATTACAATTATTTCTGGGTCTTTTAAAAAATTAATCTGAAAATTTTTGATGTTTACTTTCACTTCTTTGGTTGTGGAAAACTAAGACCACAAAATTTTTTCTCAGAATGGAACAAAGATGTTAGTATTTAAAGATCCTAACTAGTAAAATAAGAAGGCATAAATTTTAGGTAGACCAAACATAGGAATAGATGCTCTCTTCTCATGTTTTATATTCAAAATCTATGTTTGAAAGCACAGTATACATTGCCTTGTATTTCCTTGTAATGTAATATCTCTTCTTTCTTTTTAGGAAATAGTCTAGTAAGCTTAACCTTTCATTTATTTAGTCTTCATGGATTAATTGAGTACTTCCATTTAGATATGATGAAACTTCGTCGATTTTTAGGTGAGTTTGCTAACCCACTTAACAGTAACAAGATTTGTACAAGAACTTGGTTAAGTTTATATCAGTTTTGTCAGTTAGCTATTCCTTTATAACAAACCACTCAAAATTAGCAGCTTAGTATGCACATTTACAATTGCACACCACATAACAACATTTAGGTCAGAGTGTATATATGATGGTGGACCCAAAAGTGTATCACCTGGTACCATTATAGTCCTCTTAGTTTGGGTATGTACACTCTACTATGTTCACACAATGATGAAATGCCTAACAGTACATTTCTCAGAACATACCCTGTCATTGACTATACATGCAAATTGTGAGGTGATTATTATCTTTCTGAATCTAGACAGTTTTAACAACATGAAAAATATGAGTGGATAACTCAATTACTACAATTTTTATAATTATCCATATCACTTATTTATAGTAAAGTTGGGATTTTTTTCCTTTGATGCAGTTATGATTCAAGAAGATTACCACAGTCAGAATCCTTACCACAATGCAGTCCATGCTGCAGATGTTACTCAGGCCATGCACTGTTACTTAAAGGAACCTAAGGTAAGCAGTTGACATTTATTTTAAGTGAAAAATCATAAGAAAATTTCTTTAGATTTACTTTAAAGTACCTTTTCTTAAGTTAGTGACTAGACTCAAAATCAGAAGCTTCCTTGATAAGGATGATATCTGGCTTGATCAATGTTAACTGTATTTGTAAATTTTACTACTAGAGAATTGGGATGATTGTTGAGAAAGAAGACAGAAAAGCCCAAGCAAGGCCCAGGTCACTTGAAACCTTGAGTGCCTTATGAAGACATTTGGCATTTACATTGAGCTCCATATGAGTGCCAGGGTAGGGACAGTCTTGTTCAGTGAATGAATGGGGAGCTCTTGAAGAGAATCAAGAGAAAATTATCCCAGTTGTAGTGTGAAAATAAATCCAACAAGACTAGAAGCATGACTATCTAGCAGGAGCTTTCATTTCTCCTTAGAAGAGAGCAGCAGGGTGGCTTTGGAGTGGGAAAGGAGTAGGTGGTGTAATATGTCGTTGTAACATGTCTTGGAAGTTAGAGTGAACAGACATGGCATTTGAATGCATCCTGAGGAAAGAAAGAGATAAGTCAATGAAGACTGACTGGGGTGGTTGAATAGAATGTGGAATTCTTCCATGAGAGGAGGAATGTAGAAAGAGTAGTGAAATTGGCGGTAGATGGTAGGAAGATGAGTTTCATTTTGGGTATGTGGAGTTAAAGTATTTGTGGGGCATCCAAATACAGATGTCTACTAGAGAATTGGTTAAGTGTCCAAAGTATAGAAGAGAAATCACAGTTGAAATATAGAATTTGTAATCATTAGCAATAGCTGTTACTGATAGCCATCTCTGTCCATGGACATGTTCTAATCCTGAAGGTCCCCCTAGCACTGCTTCATAACTGTTCTCTCCGTGGATCTTTGTCTAGCTAGATGTTAGGAGTGAAGCAGGCTGATTAAACTGGCTTATGCCAGTTGATGATAACTCAAGAACAAAGCCAGTCATCTAATACTTATTTATTTAATATTTACTTTGACAGTGTTTGGGATCAAACCCAGGGCTTTGCACATGCTTGGGAAGCACTCTACCACTGAGCTGTTTCCAGCCCTCATAAGAGGTTGTATTTTTGTTGTTGTTGTTGTTTTTTGCAGTACTGGGGTTTAAACTCAGGGCCTCATGCTTGCTAGGGCAGGTGCTCTACCTCTTGAGTCATTCTACCAATCCTTTTTTTGCTTTTGGTATTTTTGAGATACGGTCTCGTGAACTATTTGCCAGGCTGGTTTGAACCACAATTGTCCTGATCTCTGCCTCCCAAGTAGCTAGGATTATAGGCATGAGCCACCGGTACCCAGCTCATCTGATCTTTTAAGAGATCATGGGATATGTGAAAATGCCCTGATCTTTTTCTATATGTATCATAACTTTAAAAAAATCATCTTTATGGTGGTATAAATTTCATACAGTAATAAAATGTATCTGTTTTCTGGGCAGTTTTGATAAGCCAGTACTCCCAACCATCTCAAGTTTTAAATTAAAAAAAAAAAAAACTGTAGGCCGTGCTTGAAACTTGTTTGAGACTCTTATGGGAAAAATTGATAAGGAATCACCATACAGACTGGAAAGTGAGACAATGAAGATAAGTTCTGGGGCACAAAGGACAGTTTACGTGGACAGTGGAGGCTTCCACTCTTGTCTCCCACTGGCCACACAACCCTAAAGCCAGGGACTAGGAAGTCGGGAAGGGTGAAGATGTATGGATGAAAGATGAATGCAAGCATGATATTAAACACTTTCTGCCTAAGTAGTTCTGTAGCTCTGGTAATACTTACTCTAAATACTTATCATCATTAAAAACTCAGTTAATTCTGTTTAGCCAAAGCTTCAGTTAAGGATATAGGTAAAATCATTGCACCCTACATGTAACAACTGTGCTCTCCCTTGTCACAGTTCACGTTTAAAAATAAAGTTACTCAAAGCTTTAAAGTTGAATTTAAAAGTTTGGAAACTTTAGGATCGTATCTCTTACTTCCTGGGCTTTCACTTGACAACACTGTTTTAGAGTTTTCATTCATTAATTTAACAGATATCACTGAACAGCTGCTGCCTGGAGCACAATCCTGGTGCTAGGAATGCAGTGGGGAGCCAGGCAGGAAAATTGCCTGCCTTCATGAAGTGGTCATTAAACAATGGATGCATAGAATTTTGACATATTTGCAGTAATTCTGCTATGAAGAAATGGAAACACAGGAGTATGCTGGAGAGTGATTGGGTAGATGGCAGTTTACAACTTTAGATAGAATGGTCAGAAACTACTTAAACTGAGGAGTTCAGCCATAGAAAAATCCAGGTACAGAGAAAATAGTAACACAAACACATAAAAGTAAGTTACATGACCTGCGAATTGTATCTCAAAAAAAGCAATACTAGCTCTCAGTGTATGTTTTAGAAAGAGTATAGGCATACCTGTGATCCAACAACTGGCCTCAAACTTAATGATTTAAAATAATATACATTCATTGTCAGTATATTTAATGAGAAATTTGTTTTTAGTCTTTATTACAATTTATATGAATGAGCTAATTCTTTTATTCTTTTTAAGTAAAAAAAATAAATATTACAATCCAGAGAAGTTACTAGAAATTTAGGAAACGGCCCTCTGTCGCATACATCATGTCTGTGTTAAGTATTTTTCATTGCCTCAAGGCTGAAATTATATGGTCTATATAGAATTTTATTTCAGTTGAGTCTAATGTTTTTGATTTATTGATACTGGTAATTCATAACTATCAGCTCAGGAAGTTGCAGTTTTCCATTTCCTATCTTAATATTAGTCTCATGTTTACATTTTGAGTTCAAATTAGTTACTGTACAGTCATCCCTCAATATCCATGGGAAACTGGTTCTGTAACACCCCCCACCCACCACGCCACTGATGCTCAAGTCCTTATAGAAGAAGGCATAGTATTTTGCATATAACCTGTGCACATCCTCCTCCCATAGTCTTTAAATCTCCTGGAATATTATAATACCTAATACATATGACATGATAATATGAATGTTATGCATATAATTATTATATTGTGTTATTTAGGGAATGACAACCAAAACAAAAGCCTATACATGCTAGTAAGATGCAGTTCTGTACTTGTGCTTGTGGGTTTTTAGATACAAGATTTAGATCTGCAGATATCCAGCCTGTGGGTG